CAACAGTTTATTTCCTTAGACACAATGATTTCCCTTRTTTAATTTAATCCTAAGAAAATATTCAGGAACTCTAAAATGATTTATGTACAAAGACATAATTATTTACAGCATTATTTACAATAGTATAGAGCTCTTACTATATGTCAGGAACAGAAAAGCATTTACAGAGGTATTTGTCTTTTATTCTTCACAACAATCTTTTCAGCTAGGCACTATTAATAATCTCATTTTCGGGGCTGGGGATGTGGCTCAAGTGGTAGCGCGCTCGCCTGGCATGAGTGTGGCCCAGGTTCGATCCTCAGCACAACATACAAAGATGTTGTATCTGCCGAGAACTGAAAAATAAATATTAAAAAAAATTCTCTCTCTCTCTCTCTCCCTGTCCTCTTTCTTTAATAATAATAATAATAATAATAATAATAATAATCTCATTTTCCAAATGAGAAAACTGAGGCAGCAGATAATTAATTCCCTAAATCAATGGTAAAGCTAGAAATCAAACCCAATCCAGCATTGGACCCTCTGAGTTTAATCATTATACTATACCGCCTGGAAATCACACCTATGTCCCCAAATCATGTTTTCTAAGAATATTTGATAAAAGAGATTAGATGCTAAAATTTAAAAACCAGTATAAGAACCACTAAAGTTCAGGAAATAATGCCAAGAGTTAATAAATGGGACAGAATCAAATTAAAAATCTTTTCTGCATAACAAAAGAAACAGGACTATGAAGAAGGAACCTATAGAATTGGAGAAAATCTATGTTACCTACTCTTCAGACAGTATTAATGTCTAGAACATATAAAGAACTCAAAAAACTTTACACCAAAAAAAGTCAAATAATCCAATTAATATGGACAAATGAATTAAACAGAGTATTCAAAAGAAGAAATACAAATGGCCATCAAATACATGAAAAAATGTTCAGGATCATTAGCAATTAGGGAAATGCAAATCAAAATTACAATGAGATTTCATCTCACTCCAACTAGAATGGCAGTCACCAAGAATACAAATAATAAATGCTGGAGAGGATGTGGAGAAAAAAGAACACCTTTACACTATTGGTGGGACTACAAGTTAGTACAACCACTATGGAAATCAGTGTGGAGGTTCCTCAAAAGACTAGGCATGGAACCACCATCTGACCAAGTTATACCACTTCTCAGTATTTATCCGAAAGAATTATAGTCAACATAATACAGCAATACAAGCATAGCATACCCATGTTTATAATAGCACAATACCATAGCCAAACTATGGTACCAGCCTAGGTGTCCATTGGTGGATGAATGGATAAAGAAAATGTGGCCATATACCCAATGGACTTTTATTCAGCTAAAAAGAAAAATGATACAGCATTTGAGAAAAGTGGATAGAACTAGAGACCATCCCATTAAGCAAAATAAGTCACACTCAGGTGGTATGCCTTCTCTCATATGAGGAAGCTAGAGAGAAAAAAGGAAAACAAAAGTGGGGGTGGATCTTCTAAAAATCAAAGTGAGGGCTATAGCTGTGGCTCATCAGTAGAGCTAGAGCACTCATCTAGCAGTAGCACATGCAAGGTGCTGGTTCAATCCTTAGCACCACATAAAAATAAATAAATAAAATAAAGGTATTGTGTCCAACTACAATTTAAAAACATATATATWTTTTAAAAAATCAAGGGTTGGGGTTGTGGCTCAGGTAGAGTGCTCACCTAGCACAGTAAGGCACTAGGATTCAGTCTTCAGCACCACAGGAAAATAAATAAATAAAAATAAAGGCATTGTGTCCACCTATAACTAAAAAAAATATTAAAAAAAAAAAAAAAACGAAATCAGTAGAGGAAAGGGACTAAGGGGTGGGAATTAGGACAGRGAAATGCTGGGGAGTGATATTGGCCCAATTATATTGTTATATGGTGTGCATGTATGAATATGTAACAATAAATCCCCTCAATATGTACAACTATAATGCAYTAATAAAAAAGTATGTGGGGAAAAACAGTATATAAGACACAAAGAGTATGATTTTTTATTTTGATTTTTTAAGTAATTTTTGGGGGATTGAACCAGAGGTGCTTTATCACTGAGCCACATCCCCAGTCTTTTTATTTTTTGGTTTTTTTATTTTTATTTTTTTGGTACCGGGAAATGAACTCAGGGATACTCAACCACCGAGCCACATCCCAGCCCTATTTTGTATTTTATTTAGAGATAGGGTCTCACTGAGTTGCTTAATGCCTCACCATTGCTGAGGCTGGCCTTGAACTCATGATTCTCCTGTCTCAGCCTCCCCAGCCGCTGGGATTATAGGCATGCGCCACCATGCCCAGCCTTTTTATTTTTTAATTTTGAGACAGGGTCTCACTAAGTTGTTTAGGGCCTCAATTTATGATTCTGCTGCCTCAGTGTCCTGAGTAGCTGGGATTATAGGTGTGTACCACCATGCTCAGCAGGATCATTTTAAAAATGATAAATTTTATGTAAGATGGGGCTGGGGTTGTGGCTCAGTGGTTGAGCACTTGCCCAGCATGTGTGAGGCACTGGTTTCGATTCTCAGCACCACATATAAATAAATGAATAAAATAAAGGTCCATCAACGTCTAAAAAAATTAAAAAAATATATATGTAGAAAAAAATATTGGAAGGTATTTCACTCATAACAATAGTTTTCTGGGAGGTAAAATCATGAATGATTTTAATTTTTTTTATACTATTCTTTATCTGCCAACTTGTCTATAAAGTCCATTTATTATCTTTTAATTAAAAAAACACTACTTTAAAAAAAATGTTGCTTTTGGGTTGAGGTTGTAACTCAGGGGTAAAGCGCTTGCCTCACATGCATGAGGCACTGGATTTGATACTCAGCACCACATATAAATAAATAAAATAAAGATATTTACATCTACATCTAAAAAAATATTTTTTTAAATTAATTAATTTATTTTTTAGGTGTAGATGGACACAACACAATGCCCTTTTATTTTTATGTGGTGCTGAGGATCGAACCCGGGTCCCGCCAGTGTTGGGCGAGCGCTCCACCACTGAGCCACAATCCCAGCCCTAAAAAAAAATATTTTTAAAAAATGTTGTTTTGGGGGCCGGGGCTGGGGCTTAGCACRCACGCACGAGGCACTGGGTTTGATCCTCAGCACCACATAAAAACAAATAAATAATCTAAACATTAAAAAAATAACTTATGAATCAACAAAGAAACCATAATTTTAAAAAAATTTTAATGTTGTTTTTATGAAATAAAGGGAAAATTATATACTAAGCTTAAAAACCAGAATATAGCCAGGTGCAGTGGCATGCATACACCACTAATTCCAGTGAAATTCCATGACTCACAGGAGGGTTGAGGCCAGCTTGGGCAAATCAGCAAGAACTTGTCTCAAAAAAAAATAAAATAAAATTGCAGGCTGGGGGAGTAGGGAGAGCTGTAGTTCAGGGGTAAAATGCAATTAATTAATTTAAAACCAGAATATAAATTCATACGCAAAGTCTGATCCCAATTCTATAAAAAAATGAAGACAATATTATTAAAAGTACTCATCTCTTAGTGAGAGATTATGAGTAATTTGAGGATAATTTAATCTCTCCTTAATGACCATGTTTAGAATCATACACTTACTCCCTTTTTTTAGAGATGAGTCATGCCAGAATCTTCAGGACCAAAGTCTATTAGACACATAGGTGAATACCAATCATCCTTTCTCCTCCCAGGAGTATGTTTTCTCCTCACTGTCTCAAGAGGTATGGAGGGAATTCCCTCTATTGTTTGCTTTAACAAAGTCCTTAAAGTCAGGAGGCATGGTGTACTATACAATCCATATTGCTAGTTTCCAAGGTACTCTCAGTCTATTTTTAATATTGTAGACAAACTATATATAGCCAAAGCTTTTATAAGCAGAGATAAGGAAAGAACAGGGTATAATTAAGTGCCTTTGGCAGCACAGTGCTATGGAACACAGAGAATTCTGGGCTAACTGAAGCTCTAGCTCTGCAAAGTTGTATAACAATCTTCTCTCCTTTCAAGGGCTTCACACAGAATCCCTCTTTACATAAGAATCCCTCTCACATAAGAGAGAAAAGAAAATGCAAAAAAATAAAAAAGGATGCATGGGGATCTCATCCTTAATGTAGGGTAGAAGCTACTTTTTTCTCATGAGCTGCAGGCAAAGCTTGTTTACAAAGTCAGTATACAGAAAAATGAAACACCAATAAGAAAAAGCCATTTTGGTGTGGTACTTGCTGCTTGGAATGGACCTCAAAGAGTGGCAGTAGCAGGAAGAAGGGGGTCCTATGGGCTTAGGAATAAGGCCTTGGGACCCCGCAGTCTATAGAAGCCTATTTCCTCACTGATGCCTTTAAACTAGTTTAAGATGAAAAGCTGAGAAGTAAAATAACACTTTTTTCTTTCTGAGCAGCACAATATAGGACTCAACACTGACTTTTTAATTGTTTTCTGTGTTAAGTTTCAACTAGTTGATGTTGAAACCTATCTCTTAAAACTGACCAAAAAAAAAAAAAAAAGAGCACCAGGCAAGATAAATATAAGACATGTAATAACCTGTCACAGAGAGTAGACGAAAGACCTCAGAAACAGCCAAGAGTAAGAAGAATGTGAGGCTCTAATATCTCTCAGGATCAATCGACTCTGATGAAATTACTCCTTCCAAAGGTAAGGTATCTCCCTCTTCCCCAAAAGGCAAACTATGCTTTTTTTCCCCCATCTTTCCCTGCATTACTAGGGATTGAACCCAAGGGCACTCTTACACTGAGCTATATCCCAGCCTTTTTATTTTTTATTTTGAGACAGGGTTTCACTAAATTACCCTGGCCTTGAATTTGTGACCCCCCCTGCCTCAGCCTCCTGGAATTACAGTTTTACACCACTATACCCAGCAAATTATGCTATTTAAATATAAGGCACCCATACCATTATTACAGCACCCACACACACACACCCATGCCCCCACATATCCTCTCACATTCAGCCCCCATACTTACATATGCAAGCAGCAGCAAGAAGACGGCAGGCCAGGTACGGGGGATCACAGGTGGGGAAGGAGGGCTGGATGATGTAGTTGGCGCAGGTGATGGCGATGATGGCCTGACTGGTGGGCTCAATGATTAGCAGTGAGGCCCATAGGCGAATGAAGGCAATAAAGCCCCCAAAGGCCTCTAGAATATAAGCATAGCTGGCCCCTGACTTGGTGATAGTGGTCCCCAGTTCTGCATAGCAAAGGGCGCCCACAACAGAGAAGAGCCCACCAATGGCCCACACGACCAGTGACAACCCATAGGAGGCAGTATGTACCAGCACCCCCTTGGGTGAGACGAAGATCCCTGAGCCAATCATGTTGCCCACCACCAGGCTGACCCCATTCAGCAGAGAGATCTCCTTCTTCAGCTGCATGGCTTCTGAGGGAACTTGAGGTGGCAAGCTGACATCTTCTTCCACCCTGGGCTGGCTGGCCTCAGGGATGAGATGGTAGCTGGGTACGGGGTTCACAATCTCTCTGGCTTCCATGGCAAATGGTTCCCGCACAACTGTGTTTACACTAGCCTGGTAAAGAAAACAAGTATGTCAAATCTTTGGCAGGAGTTGGTGAGGTTCTGGTTTAGACCTGCGAGTCAGGCAAATTTCCCTGCCCACTTCCTGCTTAGGGACAGACAGTATGCTACACACAAAATACAATATATTTCTCAGTTCCCACAATAGGACACAGGAAAATGGAGATAGGCAGACTTCTAATGCTCCTGAGAAWGATACCCATGAGAATACAGGCATGATTTGATGGTGGTTTCCAACAAGAGACCTGTGGGTAGGCACTGGGTTTGTCCACTAGATTCATTCTCCCTAAGTGTTGGTTTTGCTCTTTTCTTACCAGCTTAAAACACACAAACCTACCATGCAGAGAAGACCAAAGCCCCTGCAGCATGTACATAGCCTTCTCTAGCCTGAAAGGCCTCTCATTGTATACACCAGGTATACAAGCTGCCTACCAAGCTGCCTACCCAGCTCTCATATAAAGGACAAGAAGAATTTTCACAGTGTCCAGCCTCACACAGAGAGATCCATAGCTACTCTCAGGATAGCAAAGAACATGAGCAGTACAGAGAAGGATTAAAAAGATCCTTAGACAAGAGTATATCACTTTTGCAGGGACTGGATCAAGAAGAGAACGTGTGGAAATACATACCCGTGTTCACTCACCTTACTCCCCACATTGCTGCTTGCCCATTCAATACCTTTCTTTTTTCCAAAGTACCCAAAAGAAAGTGATTATACAACAAGACAAAAATGGAGGAAGGATCTCTAAGGAGCACCATAAACTGGGGTTAAACATTTGTCTACTTGCTTTCCTCAATACACCCCTCACTTTTACCTGGGGCTGAAATTCTAAGATTTTTCCAGAACATTATCCTGGAGTCTTGACATCCAACAAAAGCTATAGGCTTCTCTTGATGACAGATTTGGCATTGGAAAGCATCCCATAGAGAGATGGTACATACAGTACCACCTTTGGATTAGAGTTGGGCTAATCCAGAAACCTTAAGGAAGTTAGATTCACATTATACTACCTACAAAGGACCCAGAATCTGTCAGAGGAAGACAACTACCTTCCTTACCCTGTGCTTGGAGTAGACTTCGTCCTCCCTAAATTTCTGTGTGGGCCATGCTTCAAATCCCCTGAAATTACCTCACTTTTTAGAAAAAGGAATCTGGTGGGCTATTTGATTCCCATCCAGGAGTCAGTCTATAGAGGTCAAAGGGATAACTTCCAGGGATAAGAAGGCAATCAGCACATCATTTTTCCAGAAGCCTCCACACCACTCAACAAAGATGTATATGACATATCCTGGCTTCACTAAGCTCAGAGCAAGGGAATCACAGTCACTCAAGAGTGAGGAAAGGCACAATAGCACACACCTGTAATCCCAGCTACTCAGGAGGCTAAAGCAGGAGGATCACAAGGCCAGCCTCAGCAACTTGGTGAGAATCTGTCTGGGGGGCAGGGGGGGGGGTAGTGTGTACACACACACACACACACACACACACACACACACCTGTCAGGGAAAATTTTGATCTCCACAGATCCCACCCGATGTTCTTGCCTTACCTGTCCCAATTCTGTTACAGAGTCTGGACATGAGCCTGAGTGAAAAAGTTTCTCTGGGGCACCAGAAGCCTTCCCCCGTCCCAGAGATGAGCCAGCCTATCTCTGCTTAGATGGGGCAGGGCTTTCAGGCAGCACCACTTTTATTTTTCACCTCTGACACCAAGCCATGCAGGTTTCCCTATGCAGGCATGTGGGAACAGATTTGTTTTCACATGTCTGTCAGGTGAGTCCAGGCATTCATGGGAACAAATCCAATAAACAGCTGAGAACCCATATTCTCACGTGAGAGTCAGGTGCCCAGAGACCTACGTTACCTTTTCTACCGTATTCAGCACAGAGATGAAGAGCAAAGATGCCTGGTCCCAGTGACCATTCCAACTTCTTCTATTTCATCAGATCCCAGTTGGAGGTAAGAAGCTCAGGCTACCAGATCTTCCTTTTGTACTTGTACAGGATGACAATGGTGCATCTGATGTGACTATTTTATTTTTTTATTCAGCAAGGGACTATACCCAGGGATGTTCTACCACCAGCCCCTTCTATTCTTTATTTTGAGATAGGGTCTCATTGAGTTGTGCAGGCTGACCTCAAACTTCTGATCCTCCTACTTCAGCCTCCTGAGTACCTAGGATTATAGACAAGTACCACTGTACCCAGCTCTGATGTGCTTTATTAAGTAGGTCTGACATGCCAGTGAAACTATCCAGTAGTTTATTTAAAAGGGAGAGTACAGTCACAGCTCCACAAGCTGTTTCCTAGCATCTCGGTCCCAGCATCTGAATAAGGGACAAGATTTCTGCTGGAATTTAAAAAGAACTCCTCCTCCAGCCAAGGAGAGTCACCCTCACAGACAACTGAGAGTAGTTGAGGTTTCTTTCTCTTCTTTCAATAACAAAATGTGACTGACTCTAAGCACATGTCCTTGGACAAAAGTAATTAAAGTTCCTTCTCTTTGTTAAACACCCAAGAGCAGACTTGTGATGTAACTCCAGCAAGCTCCCCAAGAACAGATGGCTAAATTCCAGGATGGCTTGGCCACACAACTCCAAGGCCATCCCTCCCCTGCCTTCTCTGTCTACATCTCACTTCACATGCCTCCACAAAATCTAAGCACATGGGATATAGGTGGGATGTAGATGAGTTGTAGAGAGCTTGCCTAGCATGTATGAGGCCCTGGGTTCTAGCCCCAGTACTGCAAAAAATAAAATAAGTGCCTATAATATGAAAAAGATCGTTAGGGACCATGCCCTCAACACAAAATCAGGCAGTATGGTAGTATGGAAGTGATAAGGTCCTGTAGTCAGAGACCACAGCTTACCAGATGTATCTCACCCTTCTCTTTTCCAGCTCTTCTTCCCTAACAGCCTCACTGACCTTTTGTAAGCATCAAGTTAGGCAATATGAAACTCTCCAGTATGAAGCTTTCTTAGCCAAGTTAATATTGCTGAAAGATAACTTCTAGAAGCAAGGAAAAGAGGGAAGAAGTGACATAAGGTTATTTCACTGGAAGAAAAAAAATCTAGCACAAAATAGGAAGTTCTTGACTATTAACTTCCTCTTAGAAACAAAGTATTATTCCTACTTCAGTGACAAGAAAAATCCAGATAATCTATAAAACCATAATTTCCTTGAAACCATAAGAAAGCTGAGGTTACAGGGCAACTAACTAGAGTAAAACTGAAGGAAAGATAACCACTTCCAACAAGAGAGAAATATAGGGGCTGGGGATGTGGCTCAAGCGGTAGCGCGCTCGCCTGGCATGCGTGCGGCCCGGGTTCGATTCTCAGCACCACACACCAACAAAGATGTTGTGTCGGCCAAAAACTAAAAAAATAAATAAATACATTTAAAAAAAAAGAGAGAGAAATATAAGCTCCACTTAGTGGGAAAATGATGGGACCACCATATAGGTGGGCAAGAAGAATTCAAGAACTTTTTCAATGAGTTACTAAAGGTCAAATATGGGTTATCAAGAGCCACCCATTCAGAGGTTTTTCTCTACAGGCCCCAGTAGGTGCTCACACGAAATATTGGGCAGGACTTCAACAGATGAATGGATAAAGAAACTGGAATATATACACAATGGAATATTACTCAGACTTAAAGAAGAATGAAATTATGGCATTTTCCAGTAAATGGGTGGAACTGGAGAATATTATGCTAAGTGAAATAAGCCAATCCCAAAGAACCAAAGGCTGAATGTTTTCTCTGATATGTGCATGCTAATTCACAATGGGTTGGGGGAGAATAGAGGTTTTTTTTAATATTTATTTTTTAGTTATAGTTGGACACAATACCTTTATTTTATTTA